GAGACATGTAATTGAAGACCACATGTTCCATGTATAAACTCTTCCTCAAACATTGTGTACAGCTTTCTTGAGTAAAATGCAGCTGTCTGCATCAGTATATTGGTCTGCTTTTCGCGACAGGAGTAATTACAGATTGATCATACTTGAAATCCTCGTCATTCTCATAACATAGTATATTGGTCTGCATCAGTATATTGGTCTGCTTTTCGCCTCCATGTTCTCATAACATTTTCAATGCCCAAAAAATAATCTGTAATAGAACTTACGGGCTTTAAGACACTATGACAAATGTTATTGGTTGACTGACTTCTTTGGATCGTTAAAATTTCCATTCCAAATAGATCCCTTACTAAAAGTTGAAACCATTTATGTCTAATCTTGTACATTTCATCGAGTCACACATTGTCTTGTAGATTACCTGTCTCAATCATCACCTCCCATGTATCATCAAAGTCCTCTTCAGACTCACATTTGCTCAAATATTTATAAAAAAAATCACTGACTATCTTATTCACCACCCCGCATTGAACCTTTGTAGGCAATTTCTTGTATATATGCCACTGACATAATCTGTCATGTATTTGACAAAATCTCTGCTATGACTCAACCCATTGCCTGATCCTGATCAATGTAGATTGTATTCGATGATTATCACTCATGATACGAGTATAAGTTTTAAAAAACCATTTAAACGAGTCTACTGTCACCTTTGACAAGAATCCGACTCCAAAGAAAACATTATGTCAATTGTGGTTAATACTTATTATAGGAGCACAACATAAGTTATATTTATTTAATCTATAACTTGTATAAAAAATAATGACATGTCTAAAACAGTCATAATCAAGCTTAGATGTCTCGTTGCTAAAAAAAAAATTCATCAACCTACCACTCTCATCAGTTTCAAAATCCCATTCAAACATGCTATCCTCAACACGTTCCGCGACGACGGACTTAATAGTCTGTTATATTGCAGTTACAATCAAGTTACACGAAGGGTATACTCTTGGTTTCGCGGCGACGATATTATAAGGAAGTTAGGCTATACACGCGGTACCGCTGCCTGAGTGGGGAAGGTTACACATGGGTTACAACGAGATTACATGCACGTTACTGGAGGCCGACCTTGGGAGGTATTGCATGGGTACGACGAAGTTACAATCAAGTTACCATCACGGGTCGAGTCGACGGGTCACGCGCGGCAAAACACCTATTTGTTTTATAAGTTACTAGTGGTGGGACTGCCGATGCATACGTGGCCTCCTAATTGCTATAGTACGCAACACTGCGTATATCTTACGTACGCAAACTTTTCCTGGAAATTAGGGTCTGCTATTTCTTCGGCTGAGATAAAAGAGAAAAGAGGGGGTGCATTTTGGATAATATTAGTTTTTTTCTCTTTTTATCTTTTTATTTGGTTTATGTTTTTTTTTTATTTACTGCCAAATGAGTTGACCAAATAATGGTGGAGTGTGGGAAATGACCCGTTTGAGTTGTGTAAGTAGTCCGCGAAACATTTAATATTAAGTTAATGATATATATATATATATATATATATTAAAAAAATTGACGGCAACATGTGCATGTTTACCTCATATGTGTTTATTCGACCCAGATGAATTTGAACTCGGCACAAATGGGATTTACGCCGAAGCTGTCAACCAACAGACCATCAGTTGAACACATAACGAGAAT